TAAGATTAATATCCTGATGGTTGGTATGCTTCATTTCCGTTGGTATCATTCCATCATCAACGTAAGAACACTACCAAGAAGGGTTCAAGTGTTGATCAGAAGAATCAGTTTAGAGTCGATTGCAAACTTGAAGATGTGTCGAAAGAAGATAAGTAAAAGAGAGGAGACACGACAGGAGATATCACGAGAGTGTGGTAACTTATTTGGAATTAGAAAGCCATGAGTATACATCTGAAGGGTTCGCTCGTGCGCTAGAGTTATAAGCAAAGCTGTCGGACTGTGAAGTGAATGCGAGGGGAGAGGAGCTTATTGAAGCAGGAGAACAGGAGAAAGATCACCCGTACACCGCCTGCATATATGACGTAATCATCCCGGGTGTTGCTGCGCCTCGTTCCTCACATGAATCTACTCATGGTCTCTCTTCCAACCTCACCTATTATGCTAATTAATGTTAATTAAAATCAAACACCCGTCCTCTGTGTGGTTCATGAATGGGCGAGGGGTGGAGTCGATGATTAAAAGCCGCTGGATAAATTCTCCTTTTTGCTTCCGAGTATTAATTAATTTTTAATAATTAATCATTAATGTTGTAAGTATGTTATATGAGCACACAAGTATATTATATGAAGGCTAAAGCTAAACAGGCCAGTGGTGAAAGAGAATTTATTTTCAAAAGTTTGTTTCGTAAATTGAATTTTATTGAGAATGTTTTTAAATAAAGTAAATATTTTTTCTGATGAGAGATTATTGTGGTCCAGTGTAGATTGTATTGACAGAATGATTACTCTGGACCACCTGGAAGAAAGAGTGTCATATCATGGATGATCATTTCCTGAAATCTCTCCAGCTGTTGGATTTCTCTTGAAAAACGGTATTGTTGGCACGTGGGTTAGTCTTTTGCGCTTGGATCATCGCACAAGATCTTGCATACATAAGACATCAGGACGCGTGATACACGAATCACGCTCAGAGCCCGCACGTGCCTCGTTTCTTCTTCCTCTTTCTTCTTTACAGAATAATAAATGAATAGATAAAATACATAGAAATGTGCGGGGTAAAAAAAATGTAAGGATTTGCGGTAGGTGCACGCGATTGTAACGAGAAAGCAGGTCGCTTGGATATAAGTTGGATCTAGAGGCAGGCGAGTGGAGCAATTTACGCGGCAATGAGGCTCTGGATCTCTTGAGGACGTCGTTATAGGTTGGATGTGCACGGCCGCGACCTCGCGAGTCGCTTCACCTTTCCGTGTGGTTGACTGTCGAGATTTTGCTCCTTTTCTTTATCCCGCTCTTTACTTCTTTTATGCTGTAACACACCTTTTGCATAAACACGTACACATTCATGTGCTTCATTACTTGGATGAGTCTCTTCAGGCGCGCCCTATGCTCATTTGGATAAGATTCCTTTGCATATACATGCGGAAATAATACCAATAAACAACTTTCACTGAAAACAGGTATTTTTCTTCTAATAATACCACTGTAGTGAATTGTATTGCCAAAGATAAGTAGACATGATTTATTCTACATTAAATTCTACCTTTTAAATTACAGACTCTTTTTATCATCATGAGCTTCATTATTAGAATGATGAATACACTTTAAAAGTGATGTTTTTTTTTATTGTGATGAAATAAATTTAATTAATGATAATCAGATATAAAGCAAGAATGAAGAATGTGGAGTTTAAGTTGAAAATAAATGAAGCTGTTAAAAATGCAAAATTGAAAAGACATACAGATGATGATCTAGAAGAAGCTGTTTCACCTGAAGGTATAGATCAGCAAAGATCATGTTTGCTAGGACTCGATGTAGGCACGCCTATTATTACCTTGGTAGATTGATGGAATCAAACAACCGGTCATTTGGCGAGGGAATCAGTGAGAATTAATACTGGGCTATTAATTTCTTCTCGGTTGGATATACCTATAAACCTAGGGATTTGTAGGTGCACATCATGTAGGTACATCTTGTATAGAGGAGAAACCAAACATAAGAAAAGGATACATGCTAGTCTCTCTTCACAGCATAGCTGACTACGTGATTTAGGTATAGGTTTTTTTCGTGAAGATTTTTTCATTACAGGAAACGTACGTTGGTGAACTTGGTGAACCCTTCCCAGGTGGTATGGAACTTCTCTCGCTCGGCATGACGGGCATCGAGGAATCGGTCAGCGCGAATTAATGCACGAGCATCGATTATGACTCCTTGGCAATGAGCTTCAGCCATGTGGGAAAGAAATTTCACGAAGAATATTTATATGCGTAAATATATACTTAAATATCCATCGACGAGCGTCTAATCAATATTCTTCTCTGAAGAAAATCACAGTAGACTCGAATTAATCATTGGCTACATCCTAGTCTACGTACAAGCACGAAGTCTATAATTTTCTGCAAATAATATCTATATATACATCTGGTCCTTGTTGCTAAAGATGTTTTCGTAGAAGCCTTGAATTGTATCTCGAGCAGGATCATGTTCTCTGACATGTAGATGCGGTGGCACTCACGATGAGTGGCTGAAGAAGTCCAGTAAGTTACCATGATCGAGCGTAAGTAAGTGCTGAGGTGAGGCAGCAACAGTGTACACTACCATCAAGGAGCAACGAGAATTGCTGGTGCAGTGGCGGTGAGATCTCGCGCTTTATGAAGCCGTTGTAAGTTCGCCGCGGGGGTCCTAATGCCAGGCGTGTTGGTTGCCAGCATAAATTACGCCCGATTTTGCATTTACACTGAAAACTGAAATGAAGTAGAAGCTTATTTATCTCTTGAAAGACTCAGAAGGTCGACTATGTTGCAAAAATACCTCTTGCTAATCTGTGCATACCTACCACCTTCCATTCTACACTCTATATGATTTTGTACCTTATCCACCTGAATGACATCTCAATCGACTTCCTCGACCTTACTGTTTACCATGATGAAAGCCTATTTACACTCCAACATGATCAATTTTCAACCAGACCTCTACATAGTCTTCAATAGTCTGATCAATTTTGTTCCATGTTTTAGGAAACTTGCTGACATTTATTGATATTTTATATTCATCATAATGTTCAGTTTAAGCATACACTAGTTAGTATTTAGACCTGACGTAATAAGAATAATGCCTCCGCAATAGTGATCACTAAATATGGAAAACCCAGGAGAGAATACTAGATCTGATTCTAGAGTTGATGAGAGAATAAGATAAAGCCTATAAGAAATGAAACGTTAATCATGTCTGGACATTTGCGTATGTATTGTTGAGAAATTACCACTTTTATAAAGTAGCTAAAACTTCATTTTGACATCAACTCATTTCAAATAAATCGCAACTTGATTGAGATCTATTTTAAGTTGCCTTTCATTCAATACTTTGGTTTTATTTCAGTACTGTTGTTTGAGTCCAATGAGATGAGAGAAAGGATTCAACAGAATGTTGTAAAATACATTTGTTTATCTAGGTGAAAATATATTCTAGAATATACTTAACGACGAAATCGTTAAAACGATCAACCAAATAAATTTCAGTATACGAATTGCAAATTGTGCAATCTTGTATTTCCTCTATTGTTTTGCATAAAAGGAAGCCTCTCTCGCCAATGCGTAGTCAGTTGCATAAAGATTGAGAAAATATTTATGCTATTTTATTGATTCGTTTCTGAATTTTATTGATGGATTAACTATCAATAAATTTCATGAATAGATAACCCGTATGAAAAAATTTCGTTCCCCGATGTTCCCCTCGTGGGACTATAGGGGACGTTTGCAAAAACAATAAACATAAGGGAATTAATGAAATAATAATATATTGGCAGAAAACTAGAAGATATGGAAATGTGCATAACTTCTATGCTAATTATGCTAGAGGGGTGATTGAGGGGTCATATGAAAAATCGGGACCTAAAAAAGAAAGTTGGCACCCCCCTTTCTTAAAACCCCGTCAAAAATGCCGTATCTCTCATAGTTTCCGAGTTATGAGCGATAAAAGGTTTTTGTATGCTTTGCTGCAGCGTAACTTGGTTTTCTGCTAATAACTCCGGATCTATAAGGCCTATATAGAAAATGGGGATATCAATGAATTTGTGAGAATGAGATCTTTTTATTGCACTAGTTAAAATAACAAATTGGCGCATAATTCATGCAAAAATTAATGCAAGTTCCCGTTTTACCCCATTTTAGAAGTAAAAAAATTAATTTTTTATATTTTTGACCGGATTCCGCATTTCTACGTATTAAGACGAAGAGAATGAGTGGTCAAACTTGAAAATCGGACAACTTTGATTTTTCGACCCGAAAAAATGGCAAGTGGTACCCCTTTCCATTTTTTTTGGCCAAAAAATAAAAGTACTCCGATTTTCAAGTTTGACCACTCATTCTCTTCGTCTTGATACGTAGAAATGCGGAATCAGGGCACAGCCCAGAAAAATTCACTTTAACACCCTTAAACAGGGGTAAAACTGAATACAAATTACGAATCATCATCCCCTTGAGTTTAAACCCTCATAACTCATGAACGAACTGTCCAATAACTGTTTTTAGGGACGTTTTAAAAACCTAAGAATCTAAACTAAACATCCATATCTATAAAAAACGTTGAAAAAATTCCTTTTACCCTTAAAATCGCTAAAATATAAAAAAAAATCACATTTTTTTTGGAGTTTGCCAACTGTTTTGGCCATTTTGAGGGTGAAATAAATGTTTTAAACAATTTTCATGGATATGAATCTGTAGCTTAGATTCTGAAGTTTCCAGAGACCCCCTTACAATCGTTATTGGGTGACTTGTATAAGAGTTATAAAGGTCCAAAGTCGAGTAAGGGTCAAAAAATCGTCTACTCTTCGACTGCAGATCGTCATAACTTGCGAAGAAATCATCAGACGATGATTTTTGAGAGCTGTTTGGCTCAGCTGATAATTGGTTATTGAAATAAAAAAAGTATTTTATTTGAAATAAAGTAATTTAAAACTTATATTTAATATTTCTATGAACAATTTATTATTAAATTTTCTCTCAACATAATGAATCATTTCTTATCGTTATCAAAGAATTGAAGATTATTAAAAAACCCAGAGTGATAAAGAGTTTCTTCAAATATCTGGTAATAAGGGGAGATGTGATGTGCAAATAACTCAAAACTTGACATCGCTGTTGGATCTAAAGTTACAAATGACAAAAATATTTGAAACCAATCAGCATCTTGGATCTTGGATTTACATATCACAGGGCTTCCAAATAATTCCTACCAAAAAAAATTCAACGATTAAAAATGTCACTATTACCTCAAAATGGGGCTTCACTTTTATTTCAATCCTAAAAAATTTTCAAGATTTTAGTTTCTCAGTAAAGTAAAGCCCCGTAGCAAATATTTGAAAAGCTCATGATTCATACTGTTTTCTGATGACCGTAAGTTCGTTCAATCTCTGATGTATCCACTAGAAGATCAGTAAGACCTTCAATGTATTGAATTTCAGCTGGATAAGTAAATCTGTCTGAAAGTTTTCAATCATCATCAAGATGAGAAGTAGAGTTATGAATATATATTCAACAAAAATTAGTGCATTTTCTTTCTACTTACTTGAATTACTAGTATTGGAATTTTTTAACAGCATGTAATATAAAATACGACAGTTTATCGGGTCATAATCTTCTGGAGAATAAGCCAATTCAACCTGATGAACTCTTTTATTTAACTCAAATGGTTCTGACAGCACTAAAATAACCATATTGAGGTAGGAATACATTTTATCATACAGATCTATAATGTTATACTCTGTTATGCTTCTATTTTGAGAACAATTAAAAGCATTCCGACGTCTATTATTCTTTATCAATGAACATCCTGCACAGGCTTTAAAATTAAAGTATGATTGTCTAAAAAAAATTTAACATCAATTATTATAGACCTTATAAATTATTAAATGATAATTCATGATTACTTGTCAGTATCTTGGGATTGATATGCTAGAACAGCTCTTTCGTGAATTAAAGTACCAAAACTATTTACTGAAAGAGTAGACCAATAAATGATGAATTATTTTCTTGAATAATTAAGAAAAAAAAAAATTCTTACCCTTCTTTGTAGGTTCATTTTCTACAATGATAACTGTGAAGGGATAATCCTCAATAGTTTCTTCCAAATCAATTTCATAACGGAAAATACTAATATCAAAACACGTGCATATTTTAAAACAAGTTAAAAATAAGAATTGAAATATATTCATGATGGCTGTTAGAACTGCAAACTGACAATACACTAAACTTGAATATACTGATAGTCATTTAATAGACTTTACATAAATTCACGATTATATTGAAAACGTAACACATAAAAAGTGTCATAAAAATAACAAAGCTATTAACTTTAAAATGGAACCATGACAAACATTATTGAATAAAAAGGAATTAGTTTGACGAAATAATCAGAATGATTCATGATAAAATTGATAATAACTGAAATAAGTGACGACTTATATCATCATTAATTTTAAATTTAACAATAAACAAAAGTGTATTAATATTAAAACACTTTAAATATTCATTGTTCTTTATTGTGTTACATCAGATTGAAAATCCTGCATTTCTAATAATAGTATCAATTATTCCAGCTTTATGATAATAAGTAATATCAAGCATTGCAGAGGTGGAATAAAGTGTGTCAGCATTCACTTTTTTTATAGATGTATGAAGTAAAAATGTCAGGACCCAATGACCACCAGAATGTTTAGTTAAACAAACTACTGGATTTCCAGGTAAATCCTAGCAAAGATATATATGTCAATTAATACTTTTAATGATTTAGCTTTAAAAAATACTCATAGAATAATTTTTAAGATAATCTAATACCAATGAGTTGACATAGTTAAGATATGTATTTTGAAGATGAAACCAATTAATTTTTACTGTAGAGTAATTTCCTTCATGTTCAATTTGAGTTGGAAATTCAAATGTAGCTAAAATTAAAAAAAAAATCCGGAGTAAATTATTTTGAAAAATGAAGAATTTTAAATGCTAGAATACTCACGATTTTCAGGTAAATTTGAATTTGATAATAGCATGAGATATAAAATGTTACAAAGATGAGGATTAAAATCACTTGGATCTCTAGCTAATGGAATGATGTTAACATTTGGTATTAATGTAAATGGTTCTGAAAGAATTAAAACAGCTGCATTTTGCCAATAGTTATTATCTCCTTGGGGTTCAACTTCTATGATGCTGTATTCTTTGATATTTCTTTCTTTAGCACACTGGTAAGAACTCATGGAAGTTAAATCATTATGGTGGAAAAAGCATTTGCCAAGGACTTTGAAGTCAAAATATAAGCTACAACAAAAGTTAGCTTTTAAAATCAACTGATATATTATTTTTTTTACAATCCATGATGTGATTATCATCATTACCTATGAGCATCTAATGAGGCATGAGTTAACACTGCACTAGCATGAATCAAACTACCAAAAGATAGAACTGAAAGAAATTTTTGTTTTTTAAGTCTTCAAATAAATAGATCATTTATTCTTGAATAAGTTAGCTTACTTTCTTGGGTAGATATTTTGGAAACTATGACAATCCATGGATAATTTTCGATTCTTTGTGGTTTAATTTCATTGTAAGATGTTTCATAAACTCGTTGTTGATGATACAAACAATTACAAATTTTTGAATAAATTAGAACCAACATTATAACTGCCTTCATTGTGTATATACAATATAAGAATATATAATAAATGATCAAACCAATTACTTCCAAGAATCACTAATGGAGAAGTCTATTTGACTAGACTTGGAATAGAAACATAAAATTTTCTAGCTATTGATAATTTTTTTATCAATCTTATTCAATTTTTATCAGCTTTTAACGTAATTTCCTTTTTATCTTTATCAATATTCCAGTAATAAAACTTGGAATTTTCGTTACATGTACATAAAATAGAATCTTAACACGATAATTAAAGCAAAAAAGAAATAAATTATACAAATTCTTTATAGTCAATAACTTATAAAAGTGATTAAGAACCTTAGTATTAAAAAAAAATTCAATTAAAATGTAATTATTCAAGTCATCAACATTATGTGTACATGAATAAGAAGTCAACAAGTATATTTCTAATATTTCTCCAAGTTTAACAAGTCATCACAGACGACTGCAAACACATTTCATCTAACCCTGAGTTAGGTATTTGATTTCTTCTATTTGCTTTTTCCTTGTGTACTCAACAGAAGTTTCTTGTGATACAGGAGAACGTGCGTACGGCAAATTTATTTATATATCAATTTGATCTACACGCGGATACTGATGCAGTAGTCGACCAATGGAAACCAATGAGACACATTCCAATGATACGTGTAATACCTCTCACAGTCGATTCCTTTTTAGATTTTCTAGAATAATCAATGCAAAAAATCATAAATTATTGTTCTTCACTCTAGACAGATCAACTTCTAGATGCTGATAATCTCTTTTAATATCTACATACAGTCTTATGGATCTCCAACCTCAGGTACTTATTGAATGAAAGATATATTAACGTTTAAATTTATCATAGACGTCAAGTTTGATAGCAATGAGAACATTTCCTTACTCTGTATGTTAGAAAAATTGAACAAAGCCTGAAAGTGCCTGAGGTACATTGGAAAGTCATTAGAGAAACAAATTGGATTATATTGATGTTACTGAATAGAGTAACTAATAATGATTTTTCAACAATTTCGATCTAACTATACTTGTAATGATAATTATAAAACGTAGATGAGGTATATGAGTAGATGGAGCACTTAAAGGGTAAAGGACTTAATGACAATCTAGCCTGAGAAACAACATGTGTTAGGTAACAAGGCATTCATCATCAGCTGTCTCTATCTCAAGGATGAATCCTTTTTTGTCTAGATCAACTTAATTGCTAACAAGATATATTTGATTAAAAATATCAACGTAAACATTAATCCAACATTGAATGCTAGGGGACATAGACTATGATTGTAATATAAATAGCCAGTGTAGATAAAAGCGTGGGAAACTCCTGGATCAATTAAAAGGAAAATCTTTAAAATGATTCACAAATACTTTACCATTCACTAGAAAGTCATTTTTTTTCTAAAGACATAAAGTTTTTAGCATAGATTTATCAGTGAATTTTCCAGCAAAAAAATAAACCAACCAAGACTGTATAAATAGATGCATATTTGACTTGTGCCTGCTGGAAAGAATCATCTTCGACGCTAACAAATGGCTCCGTGACTTTTATTCCACCACGTTATTTACATATGCATACGCTCGATGTTCACCCACGCCACGAGTTATATCTACCTGTATTTCTGAGCATTATATACTTGAGTATGTACCCAAGCAACAGTATAAGCTCTCTTTACAGCAATAAATAATAGCTCATTTATTAATCGACTTCCAGTCTTTTCTACTGCAACTCTTCTTTCAAATATTGATTATATTCAATATATTTCATAGAATGTTACAAGAAGTTAATGCGTGCGTCAAGTGGCAAGACCTAGATGGGATTTCTATCATAGAGTTGATGTTCATATTGCCCTAGGGTCATTGAAAGAGCTAGGAGGAGCAATACAACATCAAAATACCGTGTCTCTGGTGAAAAAGAAACGTGGAGAAGATAATAGATTTACGAGGTAAGATCCACGGCCAATTATAAGCGTAGCCGTGGCATCGAGGTTATCTTTGGCAGGGCGTGCCGGACGTATTGCAAAGGTAGAGAGCGTTGACGGGGGCGTCTACACCCACGCGACCGGGACAATGAAATGCGCGGGGGAGAGATGAGAATACCAAGTCCATGGACTTACCGCCCAGTGATATCTCACGCTTGAGTCTGTCTTACTGTTATAATATCTCTCCAGGGCGAATTGCAACTCTCTTTACATCTGAGGGTCCACGAGTTCGTGGTGCCGTTAACCATCTTTAGGGTGTGGATATAAATGCTCAACAATTGTTTTTCTTTTCCTTCTATTATCCAGGTTATTATTGTGTTACTTTAAGTGATACTCATTGTGTGTATGTGTGATTGAGAAAGACTGAATCGAATCTTTTTGATTAGATTATAAGATAAAGGGGTAGAATGGCTTTTAGAGTTGTTGATGTTTGATTTCAGAATGATTTCTATTTTGATGATCAATATTTTAATCAAATCAGTTATTAAAATATTAAAACCATCAGATAGGATGTAAATAAAATATAATAAAAGATATTGATTGATCATGAAGCAAAATATTCATTGATGCATAAATACATTAATTAAAATGACGAAATCAGAGTACATTTTGAAAGTTGAACAAATTTCTTTCATGTATAAAGAAGAGAAATGAGACCGGTACGAATCGGTCAAGTTGCCCTCTGGAGTGATGATGATCAACAAATTTCCGGTATGGTTTATGCCACCGCTTTCTACAGGACATGAATCTCGATACCTTCCTTCTGGGTATATTCTCGAATCCAAGTGCACTTTCGGCAAGCATTGTAGGCGTTACCTGGTCCTTCACGCCATTCGATAATTTAAGCCGTTAATGCTGAATTAAGCTGCGATATTTATGCGGGCGTACGACGATGATTTACCGGTGGCTCTGCAGATACTGCCAGTAGAATGAAGGGAAGACCACTGGAGATATCTTGAGCTGATTAAAAATATATTCAAAGATATTTCATAACGGTTCACCAGGGTATAACCTACATCTCTTTCATATGATCATTTTAATCGTACTAAAAGAATCTTTTTTTTTATATTCATCTCCAATATTTTGAGGTGAAACTCGACTCTCTTTGGTCTATGATTTGTGATATAATTATAAGCAGAGACTTGTTCAGCATCGGAGAATAGTTGAAGAGAGAGAAGGGAGACTACTCGGTACCACAAGCCATATACACGACAGAGAATATTAATCGTTATGGAACGTGCGAGTCGTTTCGCGGGCTCGCGCACCCAGTATTAGTGTATAAGTACTTTCAGCTCGCTATTTCATGTAATTCGAGCGAGGGGCGCAACATTAATGCGCCTCTAGATATCGAGCATGTAAGCCGTCTTGTGGATTATGCAACAGTGAGGGAGTGAGCGAAGAAGCTGAGGTGCAGTCGCTAGCATTTCAAACACATGGTCTATTAAACTATAGTCTTCTGTAAAAATGTATATACATATATTTTTCTGCCGTATATTATATATATATACTATAAGGGTATATTACCTATTGTCATTATCTAACCGTTAAAATTATAGATCACGGCACGTTAAAGATTAATGCGAGAAAGCAATTACTCAGAGGCATGTGTATTTGGTGGGGAATTATTTCTCAATTAGTAGGCAAGTTTGTGCTGGATGAAAATATAAACTCTTGAGTAATAAAGGATGTGGTGGAGGTGATGGAGAAATAAGTCTTCTTAGGAAGGTCAAGGGTCGTACCTGATGCACGCACAACTGACGTAGAGGTTTAATCATTTTTCTATCAGTTAGTGATGGCAGGAATAATATTTTTTGAATATTGTTATTAATAATTAGTCAATAAATCTCATCTGCATGGGGTTCTATGTGGTTGCTGGAGGAAAAAATAGTGGTGAGGGGATTAGAGAGAAAAGGAGGCGGGTTGGATGAAATAAAAGAGAGATCGAGATTGGTGTTTGATGATAGTAGTCTATATTTTCCCACCTGGTCTGGAGAAGAGAGAGAGAGAGCACGCGCGAAGTGGTGGCTTGACTAGAATCTCTAGAATCTCGTGTGCCCGGTGAAAGGTGAAAGAAACTCGACGCAAGTTAGCTCGTTAGCGCTTGGGCCAGGGCAATAAAGGCCGCTCACGTATTGTTGTTAACGTGGGTCAAGCTAAAAGCGAGAATATCGACGTTGGAACTCAGGTATCATCCAAACCATGCTGTATAATCTCTCCATTCTCCTTCAAGAATATACCACACGCAGAATACCGCGAATGTAAGACCCAATTTTATGGAAGCTTTTTACGTGAATTTCCAAAGCAAGGGCAATATATTGCGGAAACGATATTGATGTGGCGTGCATGCCGAAGAGATGATTACCCTGGACGTGGATAGTCTCTTAGAACAGTCTCGTGACATGCAACACTAACGACCGTATATCATTTTAGAACGTATCATGAACTCTATAAAATTTGATATGCTTTTTTAGCTACTATTACTGCTACATTGAGTTTTTCATTTTATGCGGATATTACTATAGACAATTGATGTGCATCAAATGACTACCGTTAATGCTAAGCTTAAATTGTCTAATATCAGGCAATCATTGGTGGAAAAAGGTCTAGAAATTATTTGAATACTTTTTTATTGATCTCTGATGGAAAAGAATATAAATATTATAGTGAATCTTTTTATAGGAATTATTTTCCTTCTGTCTAGAATAATTAATAATATTTATTTACCACATTAAATCAATTTAATTCATATTTTTAATCAATGCAATTGAACTTATTCGTTGTGATAGACTGCTTTAGTAGAACAGGAAATTTAATAATAAATTATTCAAAGTCTATATTTGAAGAAAAAATTTTATTGATCATAATTTATTTAATAATAAATTCAACGAATTTTATTTTAAAACTTATTCAACAGTTATTTTAAAAATAAAAATATTTTTATGTTTCTTAATAAATATAATTAGAATGCATTATTTAACGATTGCTAAAAAAAATTAAAATTATCGAAAGATGTTAATAAAAAAAATGTGATTTGGTATATTTAAGATAAGATAATAATTTTATATTCAACATCTATATTATTAATATGGAATATTTT